CCTCCCCCAGTGCCGCCTGGCCTCCCACTGCACCCCTGAGAGCCCCGGGGCCACCCCTAAACTTGTGGTGTCATGTCTTCAGGTTTTTTGTTTGTTTGTTTGTTTTTGTTTTGTTTTTGACACAGAGTCTCACTCTGTTGCCCGGGCTAGAGTGCCATGGTGTCAGCCTAGCTCACAGCAACCTCAAACTCCTGGGCTCAAGCGATTCTCCTGCCTTAGCCTTCCGAGTAGCTGGGACTACAGGCACGTGCCACCATGCCTGGCTGATTTTTTCTATATGTTTTTAGTTGGCCAATAAATTTCTTTCTATTTTTAGTAGAGATGGGGTCTCGCTCTTGCTTAGGCTGGTTTTGAAACTCCTGACCTTGAACGATCCACGTGCCTTGGCCTCCCAGAGTGCTGGGATTATAGGCATGAGCTACCTCGCCCAGCCATGTCTCCAGTTTTTTTAAAACTTGCATGACATTACTTCTTAAAGACCCAAATGCTGATCCTAAGGTGTCGTGGCGGTGGGGAGATCAGGCTTCCCATCCCCAGGACTCAGCGGCGCCCTGAGCGCGGCAGCACCAGAGAAACCGTGCCAGAGGTGACCTTTTCTGTCTCTCTTGGTCCCGAGCTGGCCCCCAGCTGACCCGGCTTCTCGGACACTCCTGCAGCTGCGCACAGCAGGGAGCCTGCTGCCGGTGTCCCACCACGCTCCAGGGGACGCCAGTGTGGTCCACAGAGGCCGAGAGCATGGCCTTCCTGGGCCAAGCCTCAGTCCCGTGCTAGGGTGCATGTCCCACCCCAGGGCCCGCTGGTCACCGGCCCTTCCTGAGCCCGGGCTCACTCCTGCGCCCAGGGTGGAGCTGGCGGCGAGACAGGTGCCCACAGCCTCCCTGCCCACTCAGCCCCTGGGGCAGCCGGGCATGGCCACGCTTACTGCCTGTCCCCTTCCAGTGCTGTTGCTGAGGGGCTTAAAAATCAAATCCCCAACCTGTCACCCCTGCACCCCTCAGATGCATACACTTTGTTATAGGTAGCCGCTGTCTCACGTCACAATACAAGGTTGCGGGTGGTTCTCAGGTGGGCAGCCCAGTGCCCGTCCCACGAGCATGGCCGTGGGTGGCCTCTCTGAGACCTGGCACCTGCCGTGTGGGACACCTGTGGCCTCGGGTCACCAGGGGTGCCTGGCAGGTGCCCTGAGGCCCCTGAGCAGGAGCCCGGCCCAGGAGCCTACCTTGTGTCTGCCGCATGCTCCAGAAGGCAGCGTCTGCCCTCGGCCGTCCCCACCGCCCGCAAAGGAGGAGACCCAGGCCTGTGCCCGTCTGCTCCGGACGCTCCTGCTCACGCCCAGACAGCACGGGAGCGTCCTGCGTTTCCGCAGCAGGGGACAGAGGAAGCAAGCTTGACCAGACCCACACTGATCACTCTTCTTGGTGTCCATTTATTTTATTTTAATGAAAAAGGGGCTTTAAAAGTTTTCACTTTCTCGATTCTGTAAATTCTTCGTCGATGTGGGGCACATGGGGAGTGCTGAGAAAATGCTCGCCGGCGCGCTACTGAGCCTGGCGGAAACTCACACCGCTCGCGTCCGCGGGGGGAGGACGGAGACCTGCCGGACTCTCCCGGCACGTGGGCAGCCCGGTGCCCCGCGGCGGCGGGAGTTTCCACTTGGGCGTTTGCGTTGTTTGCAGCGTTCGGCTAAATAAGGAAGCAGGCGCTTGGGCAGGAAAGATATTCCGCTGTAACTGCTGACACCTGCGTAACCGTGCGCGCCAGCCGGCCCCGCATCCAGGTGGAAGGCCGCGTGTCATTAGAGCCGTGACTTGTTGTCACTTCGCCCCGACTGCCCCATCCTCTCCTTCCGAAAATAGCAGGCCCTGTGGCAGCAGCTTATTATGATAAAAAGATAAAAATAAGTGAAGGCTGAAATAGGTCCAGGACACCCAAGGTAACACGAAAACTTTTTAACGATACTTGAGAAACTGTGTTATTTTCCACTGCTTCACAGAGCCTCCTTGAAAAAAATCAGAAACGTGCGAAAGGATTTGGGTGTTGCAGCTCTGTGCTTTCAGGATCACTGTGCCGTGACAGCTCGTGGCAGAACCTCTGCTGTTCCCGCCGGGCCCCGGAGGCAGCTCCTGGCTGCCCCGGATGGACGGCACCACCAGATCCACACGTGGACCTGGGAAGGGGACATGTGTGTGGCAGTTTCTAGGAGGTGGCCTCTTCTTGAGAAACTGAAAAGCCCACACGAGAGGCAGCCTCTTGATGCACAGCCTGAGCTGTCTGTGCATCAGAACGAAGGTACTTGCAGTGGAACAAAAGCATTTCTCCTCTGCTTCCTATTTTCTTATCTCTAATTTGTGGCTTTGATCTATTTTTATGTGCTTAGCTCATATCTGCTATAACACCTTGAGTAAGAACCAAATAAGTCTAAATGTGTATATCAAATGGAAAAATTGAAAGCTGTGTGCTCAGCAATTCATTGAAACCACAATAGAGTGAGGAAATACATCTATCATACCCCTTTGTAATGAAAGTCACAGCAGCGAAAATCTATATGTTCATTAGGATTTTCAACCACCGTCAAATGGCTTTCTTATCCCAAGAATTATTAGGCGCTGTAAAAGTTAGTACAGCAAGTGTAATTTTGGTTACTTCTAGAAGTTAGTTATTTAAGAATAAGATTTGGCCTGGTGTTTCTGGCTGTTCTTGTGTCTGCCCAAATGACAGTCCTCTTAGGTGACAAGACTGACTGTAACTACAGGTGTGTATATTCCAGGAAGGTTAAGCAAGTACTTTCTGTAATTATCCTTTAGTTATAGGACTGGGAAAGAAGGCCCTTCTTGTTTTGTTTTGTTCTTCAGAAAGTTATTTTGGCTTTCCCTTTAAAATAATATTTTTTGAGGACTTGTTGTCCGTAAGGAATATGTACTTTTCTATCTCAGAGGGAAGAAAGGAGGTGAGTTCCAGTTGCTTCTGTGCCACGTGTTTACAGTATGACCTGTGAGCTTGGGGGAAATCTGTGGGACGTGACGCAGTGTGGGGTGTGGCTGTGGGAAACGGTGACAGGGACGGAATCCAGGCTGGACCCCTGTAGTGGATCAGCCCCTTAAACCATATTGCTTTGGTTTAAAGGAAAATGACAGTTCTCTTTATTAAAGAGCAGCAAGATAGTGTGTTCTGATACCAGGGATGGAGAAATGACTATGTCCCCACCGGCTGGTTTGCTAATAAGCAGTTGCAGATAAATATTGTTAGATTTTAAAATCCATGGTACAGTTGGTTTCCTTATTGGATCTGACATAACTGTTGGAAAAGAGGAAAATGGGTTTAACTATGTTGTATGTAATTAAGCTCTAGTAGGTACCTAGACGAACAAACATGTTCTTTAAAAATTGACGCGAAGTATTTTTTTTGCAAAATATGGTCCTATCCCAGTTAACTTTTCAAATACAAGGATTAAATAGTGGGTCTGGGTTAATATTGTTGAACCATATTTCTTACTTGTTAAGCTCAAATGTGGTTCCTAAGAACATCCTAGCGCTGCCCCTCCGGGTTCTTTCCTTCCCTGCGGCCTGCAGGAGGCCACCCAGCCAGGTGCGCCCAACATGGGCCAGTGGCCATCCACACTGGGCAGGATGGGTCCCGCCATGGAAACGGGTCGGAGCTGACCCCAAAGGCCCCCGATGCCTGGGCGACCGGCAGAGGCAGCTCGACTGTGTGGGAACAGATTTTTCCCCCATTTTGCTGGTCAACACTCGTGGCTGGTCCTCTGTGACGAGGGGAAAGGCGAAGCTACATTTGCATTAACCTGAAAGCCCCATATAGATTGTTTCTCTGCTAAGGAAAGGAATGCACACACCGGAAAGTGCGCATGGCCGTGCGCACGTCTTTCTTGTATGAGAAGGACCACGTAGCACATCTGGGCGCTCTGGGTTGATGGGATTTTTTTAGCATGTTGTTCTGCTGAATAGAACGTGGCCCTAGGAGAGCCTCAGGTCCCCAAGAAGCTGCCACTCTACACCAGGGGCCCCTGTCTGGCAGCACATCGCTCCCCAGGGCTGGGCTCCGTGTGGGGACCAGCTGACTCCCAGCCGCTCTGATCTGTCTTCAGGACGAGACCAGGAACAACACCTGTCTCCCCAGGGAGCTGTGCAGGTCGCCCTGCAGCTGGTATGTTTCGTGACCCCTGGAACTCAGCCGTCACTCAAGCATGTTGGGGGACTCCAGACCAGGTGGGGTGTGCACCTGTGCTGCAGGCAGCATGTTTCCCTGCTGGGACTGATGTGCAGCAGCTGGTCTCTCCCCCTTGCAGAGCAAGGAGGGGTCCTGGTCAAGCCCCATCACAGACTCTGCCTCCAGGCCTGGCAGGGGGAGGACTCACCAGGCCTCTGCAGGACTCAGGGACAGGATGGGAGGACCAGGGCCCTGGAGGACTCAGGGGCAGGATGGAGGACTAGGGCCCCAGAGGACTCAGGAGCAGGATGGAGGACCAGGGCCCCAGAGGACTCAGGGGCAGGATGGGAGGACCAGGGCCCCGGAGGACTCAGGGGCAGGATGGGAGGACCAGGGCCCCAAAGGATTCAGGGGCAGGATGGGAGGACCAGGGCCCCAGAGGACTCAGGGGCAGGATGGGAGGACCAGGGCCCCAGAGGACTCAGGGCAGGATGGAGGACCAGGGCCCCAGAGGACTCAGGGGCAGGATGGGAGGACTAGGGCCCCAGAGGACTCAGGGGCAGGATGGGAGGACCAGGGCCCCAGAGGACTGAGGGGCAGGATGGAGGACCAGGGCCCCAGAGGACTCAGGAGCAGGATGGAGGACCAAGGCCCCAGAGGACTCAGGGGCAGGATGGGAGGACCAGGGCCCCAGAGGATTCAGGGGCAGGATGGGAGGACCAGGGCCCCAGAGGACTCAGGGGCAGGATGGGAGGACCAGGGCCCCAGAGGACTCAGGGCAGGATGGAGGACCAGGGCCCCAGAGGACTCAGGGCAGGATGGGAGGACTAGACTCAGGGGCAGGATGGGAGGACCAGGGCCCCAGAGGACTCAGGGGCAGGATGGAGGACCAGGGCTCATGCTCCTTTTTTATCCTGTAGAGTCCGTGCAGGTGCAGAGCCAGCCCATTCTGTCTTCCAGAAAACGGGCTTAGAGCCTCCACCGGCTGCCACGTTGTCAGGGGCTCACAGATTTGTGAGCCACAGTTTGAACAGTGTGGCAGGAAGGTAGAATCTCAGTCTGAGAAAAGTTGGAAAACCCTCCGAGCTCTTGGCTTCCGTGTTGTTCCGTTAGATTCAAACAGGCTCAGGGGCTGTCCTGAGAAATAGAAGTCAGGTGGTTTTTAAAACAAACACCACCTAGAGAAGTTCTCCTGTCACTTCTGCCACTTTTAGAGGCATGGCTCTTCTTTGTTCATGTTTTAATTCTGGTCGCAGACGTCCTGGGTTTGCTTCCGCAGCTGTCCCTTCCTATGGCAGCACCGTCACTTGTGCAGGGTCCCTGTTGTTCCCGTCCAACGCAGAAGCGCACGACCACGTCCGCACATGGGTGGGAGGCAGGGTTGTCCACGGTGGGACCCCGGGCAGAGCTCGGTGGCCCAGGCCACAGCAAAGCCCGGCGGAGGGGCAGGCCGGCGGGAGACGTTCTGACGGGTGGCGCTGGCGCCAGGTCTACAAACGGATCGGAACTGGCGGGGCGCGTGCGCGTGGACGCAGCCGGAAGCAGGCTGGAGCCCTCTCAGGCCTGGGGGCTCCGATGGGAGCCTCCACCAGCCCATTTCACGTAATAGCCTTAGAATCGCCTACAGGCCGCTGGGATTCTTGAACGGAATTTCTGAGACAGTGTCAGCAAAGCCTCTGGCCTTGAAGAACTGTTGGCCGGTTTTGCAGTTTGTCTCAGAGCGAAGGTGGTGCCACCTGCCTCTGTCCTGGCAGCCACCCGGGCCCGTGTGGCGCCTTCTCCTCAGCCCCTTCCCCTGTGAAAGCCAGTACAGGGGAAATGACTAAAAAAAATAGTTGTTTGGCCCAAACAGGAGAATGCCGCGTTTGTCTGTGTGGTGTGGTGGAGGGCGGGTGTGTGTGCTGGTATTTTGCTTTGTTTTAAGAGAGGCTCACCACAGAAAAGGAAAGTAGCAAAAAGTACACCCCTTCATCTTTCCTCCTTTCAGCGATACCAAATGGTGAGCACCGAGGCCTGGCAGGCGGGAGCAGTGAGGACAGAGACAGGGATGGGCGGTGGGTGAACTGCAGGAGGGAGGGTGGGAGCTCAGTGCAGGGGCTGCCGGGCAGGGCCAGAGTCCCCAAGTCCCGTGTGTCCTGTGTCCATGCTCCCTCCCAGGCACCAGACAGGGGTCCTGGCCGGCCCTGCCACATCATACTCTCCATTTGCCAGGGGGACCCCCCCCTCGGGTCCAGTCCGGAAGGGCCAGAGGGGGTTGGCCCAGCAAGTGCAGGGTGGGGCTGGCCCTAGTCCAGTCCGCCAAAGAGGATCCTGCCTTGTCCCTCCAGCTCCAGGACCACGGGCTGGAGGGTTCCCACTTCCTGAGCGTCCTGTGATCTCCCGTGGACAAACTGGCAATGACAACACCTGTCCGCACTCCCTCCCAGCTCTGTACCCAGACCACAAGCAGTGTGTGAGCAGGTGCTTCGAAAGCCAGGAAGGGCTGAATACATGTTGGGTAAATAAGTAGTTTGCTCCTGCCTTAAAAATCTGAGATCCTTAATTGCTCTCAGAAACCAAGAATTCAGAAACATGGGGGAACATTGCTTAGAAGCTGGGCATTGAGAGAGGGCAGGCAGATGAAAGACTATTCAAACACTCCCAGTCCTTTGGTTTGTGTTCTTCGCAGTGTAGTCATATAAAAACCCACGAGTGAAACCTAAGAGATGAACCATAGATATCTCACTACAACGCGATGATCAAAAAGAAGAAACTGATTGTGTGAAAGTACAAATATTTCACTTTAGAAAGGACATTTCTCATCACGAGTTGATCGTGATGTGAATCGCCGAGAGGCCATGTGTAGTGTCAGGAAAGACGCAGCTGATGTTCATAGGTGACAGGCCACTGCCTGTGCTGTGCACTTCTTAGCTTTTGTATTGTAAGAAATAATGATTTCCTATTTCACTATTCCAGATTCGTGCACCGCAGTGGCTGTGACTGTGGGTGTGCAGATGTGGGATACAGGGGTGCAGAGACACATCCTGAGCACACACATCCTGGATTAAAACAAGGATTCACACTGCCACATGCGAGTGTCAGAAAAAAACAATAGTTTCCATCCTAGGAGCATTTTAGAGAAAAATCAAATATAAGGGAAAAAACCCTTCTCATTAAATTGAGCTGTGGTACAACAGCTCACCACATCCTGTCGCAGGGACATCTGACGTTGAGCAGGGCAAAGGTTCCTCTTTCGGGTCTCTGACGAGTCGTGCAGGCCACATGTTACCTGCAGTTCAAAATACTTCTCTAAAGGAAACAGCCTGTGTCGGTGGAAAAGCTGAATAAGAAGATGGAAATTATCAGCAGAGAGAAGACAGTGTGGGAAACCGTAGGTGCCACCATACCAGAGAGAAAGCCACCCCCGGATAACCCGCGCGCGGCCCCAGCCCCAGCCGTGACCTCATGGAAGAGAAGTGGCCGAGGGGAAGGGGCGGGTGCCTCAGCCCAGCAGCCACGAGGCCGGAGACCTGCCCTGCGCAGGGTGTGCACGGCCCTCTGTGGAGAGCGCGTGGCCTTTAGTCCCGGGCGGGGCGCAGAGTGTGCGGGCAGCGCGAGGCTTTGCTGTTGGGCCACCTGCGGTTTGTGCAGACGGCTGCGTGAAGCGCCAACCACAGCACGGCGCGGTGGTCTTACCGCGCCACCTTCAGTGGTGTGCACAGTCGTGTGGGGGGTCACCATCGTGTGGCATCACACTTGTGTCTTCGCTTTCTGTCAGCTGCTGCCACAGGGCACTCAGGGAAGCTCCTCCAGGATGTGAGAGGTGGTGTCAGGGCCCGTGCTGGACGTCCCTGCGATATCTGAACATTGTTTGGGGGGGGGCTCCTGCCGCCCCCCAGCTCTGCAGCCCCTGATGTTGGGGACACCACACTGATGTCCCACCGGGAATGCCCTGACAGCAATGGGCGGTGGCTGGTGCTCCCAGCTCTGAGTAACAGGCCCAGAGTAGACGGGGCAGCAGGAACCTGTGTGGGGCACAGCATGGCCACCAAGGTGAACCTGGAGGGCTGGTGACATGCTGAGTGATTTCCCAGCCGCCCACCGGGGCTCTCCCCGGGAAGCTCAGGTGCCCGTGGGCTGTGGGGGAAGCCCATGCTGCTGTTCTTCCCCTTTCACCTTTGCAAGCAGATGTTGTTTGCCTGTGGTCAGGACCACCATGACTAACTAGAAGGTTCTCAATGCTTTGCTACTAACAGGCCACATCTACTAACTATGACATCGGGTATCCTGCCCTGCACAGAGCATCACTCAACCCTCACACCTGACACTCCAGCCATCCATCATTATTACCCTCAGTCCTCCTTCCACCCATCAGACTTCCCCCATCCCATCATTAATACCCCAGACCTCACTCTATGCTCTGATTATTACCTTCATACCACCCTCCATCCATAATTATTACCTAACACCTCAGTCCATCCACCGTGATTACCCTCAGACCTACCACTGTCCCATCATCACTACCCTTAGACCTCCCTCCATCCACCATTATGACCCTCAGACCTTCCGCATCGGATAATTACCCTCAGACAACCCTACAATTCCATCATTATTACCTCCCTCCACCACCATTATTATTCTCAGATCTCTCTCCATCCCATCTTTATTACCTCAGAACTCCCTCCTCTTATCATTATTACCCTGAGACCTCACTCCATTCATCATTATCACCCTCAGACCGGCTTCATCCCATCATTATCACCTCAAACATCCCTCCTTCCATCATTATTACCCACAAACCTCCCCCTTCCCACATTATTACCCTCAAACCTCCCTCCAGTTCCATCATTATTACCCACAGACCTACCCCCTTCCCATATTATTACCCTCAGATCTCCCTCCAATTCCATCATTATTACCCACAAACCTCCCTCAATTTCATCATCATTACCTCAGACTCCCTCCTTTCATCATTATGACCTAAGACCTCCCCATCCCAATACTGGTACTTCAGACTTCCCCCGTGCCATCATTCGTACCTCAGACCTCCCTCCATCGTTATTATTCTCAGACCTTCCTACATCCATCATAATTACTTCAGACCTTCCTCTATCCCATTTTTAACCTCAGACCTGCTTTATCCCATCATTGTTAACTCACACCTCCCTCCATCCTATCATTATTGCCCTCAGATCTCCCTGCAGTTCCATCATTATTGCCCTCAGACCTCCCTCCCTCCCATCATTATTGCCCTCAGACCTCCCACCATTTCATCATTATTGCCTTCAGACCTCCCTCCCTCCATCCCATCATTATTACCATCAGACCGTCCTCAATTTCATCTTTATTACTGGACACCTCCCTCTATGCCATTAGTACCTCATACCTCCCTATATGCCTCATTATCTCAGACCTCCATCCATACATCATTAGTACATTCAGATTTCCCTTCCACCATCATTATTATCAGACCTCCCTCCAATTATATCACTATTACCCTCAGACCTGCTTCATCTCATCATTATTACCCTGAGACCTCTCTCCATCATTGTTACCCTCAGACCTCCCTCCAATTCTATCATTATTACCCTCAGACCTGATTGATCCCCTTATTACCCTCACACTTCCCTACATCCCATCATTAATACCCTCAGACCTCCCTCCATACCATCATTTTTACCCTCAGATCTCCCTCCAGTTCCATTATTACCCTCAGACTTTCCTCCATCCCATATTGTTACAGTCAGACCTCCCTACATCCTATCATTATTTCCCTCAGACCTTCCATTCCATCATTACCTCCCTACATGTGTAATTCCTCATACCTCCCTACATGTGTAATTATGTTCTCAGACCTCCCTCTGTATACCATTAGTACCCTCAGATTTCCCTCCATCATTATTACCTCAGACCTCCCTCCATCCCTCATTATTACAACAGACTTCCCTCCATCCCATCATTACTACCCTCAGACCTCCCTCCATCCAATTATTATTAACATCAGACCTCCTTAATCTCATTATTAACCTCGGAACTCCCTACATCCCATCATTATTACCCTCAAATCTCCCTCTATCCAATTATTATAAACCTTGGTCCTGGTCCGTCCCATCATTATTACCTCAGACCATTATTACCCTCAGACCTCCCTCCTTCCCATCATTATTAACTTCAGAACTCCTCCTCCCATCATGTTTACCTAGGACCTCCCTCATTCTATCATTATTACCCTCAGACCTCCCTCCATCACATCATCATTACACTCAGACCTCCCTCCATACCATCATTATTACCCCCAAACCTCCCTCCATCCAATTATTATAAACCTCAGACCTGCTTCATCCCATCATTATTACCTCAGACCTCCCTCCATCATTACTTAGACCTCCCTACATTTCATCAGTATTGTTCTCAGACCTCCCTACATCCCATCATTACCCTCAAACCTTCCTCGAACCCATCATTATTAACCCCGACATGCTTCATCCCATCATTATTACCTCAGACCTCTCCCATCCCATCATTATGACCCTCAGACCTCCCTCCTTCCAATCATTATTACCCACAGACCTCCCTCCAATTCCATTATTACCCTCAGACCTCCCTCCTTTTCATCATTACTGCCCTCATACCTCCTTCCCTCCCAATATTATTTACCTCAGATATCTCTCTATCCTATCATTATTATATCAGACCTCCCTCAATCTTATCATTGTTACCCTGAGACCTCTCTTGGTTCCATCATTCTTACCCTCAGACCTCTATCCATCCCATAATTAGTACCTGATACCTTTCTACACACGTTATTGTCTCAGACCTCCCTCCATACACCATTAGTACCCTCATATTCCCTCCAACCATCATTATTAACTCAGACATCCCTACATCCATCATTATTATTCTCAGACCTCCCTCAAACCAATCATTATTACCTCAGACCTTCCTCCAACCATCATTATTACCTCAGACCTCCTTCGATCCCATCATAATTACACTCAGACCTCCCTCCATTTCATCATTATTGCCCTCAGACCTCCCTCCCTCCCATCATTACTACCCTCAAACCTCCCTACATCCCATCATTATTACCCTCAAACCACCCTCCATCCAATTGTTATAAATCTCAGACCTGCTTCAACCCGTCATTATTACCCCAAACCTCTCTCCATCCCATCATTATTACCCTCAGACCTCCATCCAATTGTTATAAACCTCAGACCTGCTTCAACTCATCATTATTACCTCACACCACCCTCCATCTCATCACTACCCTCAAACCTCCCTCCAATTCTATCATTATTATCCTCAGACCTGCTTTATCCCATCATTATTACCTCAGACCTCCCTCCATCCCATCATTATTACCTCACACCTCCCTCCAATTCTATCATTATTACCCTCAGACATGCTTCATCCCATCAGTATTACCACTCATACTTCCCTCCAGCCCATCATTATTACCCTCAGACCTCCCTCCAATTGCATCATGATTACACTTGGACCTCCCTCCCTCCATCCATCATTATTACCCTCAGACCTCCCTCCAATTGCATCATTATTACACTTGGACCTCCCTCTATTCCTCCATCATTATTGCCTTCAGACCTCCCTCCCATCATTACCTTCAAACCTTCCATCCCATCATTATTACCTCACACCTCCCTCCAATTATATCATTATTACCCTTAGATCTGCCTTATCTCATCATGATTACCCTCAGACCTCCCTCTAATTCCATCATTATTACCCTCAGACCTCCCTCCATCCCATCATTGTTACAATCAGACCTCCCTCCAATTCCATCATTATTACCCTGAGACATCCCTTCATCCCTAAATAGCACCTCACATCTCCCTGCATCCCATCATTATTGCCCTCAGACCTCCCTCCATTTCATCATTATTACCCTCATACCTCCCTGCATTCCATCATTAGTACCTCATACCTTCCTATATGTGTCATCATCGTCTCAGACCTCCCTCCGTACACCATTCGTACCCTCAGATCTCCCTCTGACTGTCATTATTACCTCAGACCTCCCTCCATCTCTCATTATTACCTCAAAGTCCCTCCATGTCATCCTTATTACCCTCATACCTCCCTCAATTTCACCATTATTACCTCACACATCCCTCCAACCCATCATGAGTTCCTCAGACCTCCCTCCATCCCATCATCATCATCCTCAGACTCCCCCCATCCCATTATATTACCTCTGACCTCCCCCATCACATCTTCATTACCTCAGACCTCCCTCCCTCCATCATTTTTACCTCAGACCTCCTTTCATTACATCATTGACACCCGCAAACCTCCTGTCCACTTTCGTCACTCCTCACACTGCTTCCCACCTGTCACAGTTGGTACTAGAATGTTTTCTAGTTTTCTAGTTGGTAGTCATTCATTATTGATACTTAAATGGGGATGACCAAAGTCGTTGCAACACACTTGTGGGTGTCCACTGGCGTCCTAAGTCGAGCCATTTCTCCTGCCCGCCCTCCTCGTCAGTGTCCAGGTGCCCGTGTGGGGTCCAGCCTGTGAATGCTTGCTGCCCAGGAGCGCTCCTCTGAGTGTCCTCCTCCTCCTCCTCCTCTGGTGGCCTCATCCTGGCAGCGATCTCTGGACCCAGCCCGCCAGCTGTGAGGGGCACAGGTGCGTGGCGCTGTGCCACATGGCGGGTGTTGTCCTGAGTGTGAGCGTGTGGCCTCTTTGGCAGAGGACAGCCTCCCTGCTGCACGGCCTGCACCTCCTCTGGGGATGTGAAAACCCGCTGCTTTGTAACCCTAATTGTAGCCTTCCTAGCTAAGACCTTAGAAAACTCTAGATTTATGATTTTTCTTTGTCAGAATGTTCTTTGATGTGGCAAAGTATGAATTAGACATGCGCCTCTTTCAAAAGCCTAAACGCGTACAGTTCGAAAGAAGAGTTACATCCGCTCCCATTCCCGGCCATTCCCGTCTGTGCCGGCAGAACCCCGCACCACGCGGCAGGGAAGGCCCGAGGTGGCCACACTGGGCCCGTGGCTCTCAGGCAGGGTGGCGGCTGGCAGTGCACGGGGAAGAGCCTTCCTTTCTCTTCCACGGGCACCTGCTGCCGAGGGTTTCTCAGGGCTGTGCGGAGGCCGGGCAGCTGCCACCAAGCGTCACGGGAAGCACCCGGAGCTCAGGCACCGCCCACGTGCACTGCAGGGACAAGTCGGGTCCTGAGCGCTCGGCCAGAACAGCCTGTGAGCATCTGGGCCCTGTCTCTCCTCAGTGTCTGGGGGGAGGGAGCCCGGGCGCCTCTGGGCTCTCTGCGCTGCGTCCTGCACTCAACAGCTGGTCCCAGGACGGGCGGGAGTCAGCGCCGCCTCTGAGGAAGCCGCGTGTGCTCCTCGGCCCTCGTGAAGGGCCAAGACCGCTGACCTCCGTGGGCGCCACGGTGGGGAGAAGCGGCCGGCCGGGTCTGGCCAGGCCGCCTCTGGGCGGGCGCGAGGTCCGGGGTTGCTGTGGCAGCCGGGGCTCCCTCTGGGGCTCCACGCCCATGCATCCTGTTATCAGTTCCCATGACACAATTCCTGGTCCCCCCAACTGCGTTTTATTGTTGTTATGCTTAAAAATGGGGGGGGTGTTGAAAGGGAATTTAGGGCCGGGAGGGGGGTGATGAAACACACACCCACTAGTTGCTCCAGGAAGCCGCCCCTAGACAGGCCGGGGCCTCTGCAGGAACACGTGGAGTTTATCTGGGCGAGGGGCGCCCCAGCCCCTGGCAAAGGGAAGCCAGGCAGTTCCGTGACGTCAGACTCTGTTGGGAAAATGGGACGTGGTGACAGCCTGCCTGGTGACATTTCCCGTATCTCAGGGCCGGTCAGGTGGCGGCTGGGAGCAAGGGTGGGGAGAGCTCACTGCGGGCCGTCCCCCGGCCCTCCCATTTCCTCCCCGCCTGCCAGAATCGCAGGCTGATAGTGGACGTCGCCAGCGTGAGGGGCGCCGTGACCCTCCGTCTCTCCCAGGCGCTGGGCAGCCTCCAGAGACGCTGGCGTGGTGGTGCTGGTTTGTCTCTTCCACAAACTTACGGAGACATCAGCGTGGGCCCCCTGCCCTGCCGCAAATGAGCTCACGCCCTCCAGGCACTGTGGACGTGGTCGGCGTCCTAGCGTGGGCAGGGCACCACTGGGCCGTCAGAGACCCGTGTACCCCATGCTGCAGAAGACGCGGTCACTCCTGGGACCGCCAGCTCCTGCACCAGGGCGGCCAGGCTCTGGCGAGCAGGTGCCATGGCTCAGGGCACGGGGGCAGGGCAGGGACCACGGAGGGAGCGGAGCAAGGGTTCCCGGGAGATGCCGCGTCAAGGCTGAGCTTGACTCCCTGCACCTGTTGCATGCAGGTGTTTTGCTGCAGAGTCCCGTTTCCCTGACACTTTCTCAACTTGTGTTTTCTTGCAGTAAACGAGATAATACGGAACGACCTCTCCGGCAGGAACACCCATTCGTAGCTGCCGCGCTGGAGCCCGCAAGGTTCTATGCAGAAGTTGAGCTTCAGCAGAGACTTTTGACTGAAAAAACAGAACACACACCTGGCGCCACTCAGAGCTTCCAACGTACTGAACGCAGGGGCCGAGGCTCGCGACTATATGTCCAGAGCAGTCGCTCTCTGCTGAGAGGACGGAGGCGGCGGAAGACCATGGCATCTCCCAAAGGAAAAGTCATCTCAAGACGCCGGCGGGCGGCCGGAGGGGCGAGTGCCTTTCCCGGACGCGCCGACACACGGTCTGACCCGGAGCCACCCTCCTGGCACCCCTGGAGTTCAACACTGGAAGTGCCTTATTTAACCAGCCATCAGGGCTTCGTGGAACCGCGCACTGAACTTGCTACCGCGAGAGTGTTTGTAGGAGCAGAAGCTGTCGGAACATTTTTATTGCGAATTGTTGTCCGTTGTATGAACTTAGAGCATACTGTCAAGCTAAGGGTTGTCAGAGAAAACCTAATAGGAGTTTCTTCCCTTTTTCAACTTTTCCTGTGCTGTAACATACAATGTTGCACCTTACCCAGTGCACTTGGGAAATCTTCCCACCTGTCATCTCAGCTCTCTCATAATACACCTTTTCCTAAGACTGGGATTGTTAATAGTAAAAGCATGCTAGGATCTTTATTTTTAATCTGGCTTTGAACATAGCACAGGTAAGCTGCATAGCACAAGCCTAGGTTCCTGGACAAACAGGGAACTCTGTTGCAGGATGGGCCTTGCATGTGCATGTATGTGCGTATACAGACATGCTCGTGTGTGACAGTGAGTGGCAGATGGCGGTGCCCGCCCAGCAAGGGCTTCCACGCCAGCAATAACCAGCACCGTCCTGGACAGTGCGGCCAGGCCCACCCGGCTCCCCGGCTCCCTCCCGCGGGGCGTGTCCCTCTCCGTAGACAGTGCCCACGCTCTCACCCCTCACGGTGACAGCCCAGAGAGGTGTGTCCGCACAGCGTGGCGCACCGCACGGCCAGTCGGGGAAGTAACTGTAAATAACGTCGCAAAAGGAGTGTAATATATTTGTTCGGTTGTAAGATTATTGTTTCACAGAAGCCTTATAGCGCCTCTGCTTCATCTGAGAAAACAATTACCAAAAACAATGTTTCGATGCGCAGCAATGTATAGAATGTTTTCAGATTAGCTACTGTTTATAATAGACAGGTTAGTGTAGGCTTGACTACTGCATTTTGTACAATTAACCGCTTATTGCACATTATGACTCGCAGTGACCTGTTATTTCATATAACCAAAAAGCATGGTTCAATTAAACGTGTCTAACTAATAACTGTGCCTTAGGAACTAACGCCCCCTGGTGGAACATGCCTGCACTGCACCCGCGGCGGGGGCAGAGTCGGGACAGGGGGGAGGATTCTCTCTTAGATATTCTCCTGTGCGATCATGTCTTACTTTTTTAACTCACAGAACGAAACAGAAACCGAAAGCCATGTCTGTAACACTTGCACGTAACTGTGAAGAGCTGAAGGCGTGCGGCCGCGTGTACGTGAGCCGGGTACCTGGCGCCGCAGGAGTTGCCTGCCACCCCGCTCGGGGCTGCCGCGCGGAGGGCGTGTCCGTGTCGTGTGGCCGTCCCTGTAGTTAGGGAGCAGACCCAATAAAGCAGCACCTCCTTGCTGGACAGCCTCGTCTGAGCGTGGTTCCTGACAGGCACGGAACAGCACCCTTCGCTCTTAAACGTGTTTTCCTCTGTGTGCACGCGTGACCGTCGGCAGGGGCGTTGCACGTGGGTGAGCCCGTGCGGCTGGCGCGGTCGCCGAGCACGGAAGCGCGCGTGCCGGCAGCTCTTCTTCCTCTCCCGCTGGAAGAGGCCCGCCGTGGAGACAGCAAGCGTGTGTGGCAGTTCTCAGGCCCTCGTCTGAGCAAGGCGCTCTGGGCGCGTCCCTCCGCCAGGTGGGGAAGGAGCCTTGTGCGGGCCAAGTATTTCTGCTCAGGGAACGTCCGGGGCGAGGCCGTGGCCACACACAGACTCACAGGCGCTGGGCCGGTCATCTGGGCCAGCCCGACTGTGAGCGTCTCGCGCCCCGCCCGGCTCCCGCCTCGCGGGTGAGAAAGGAGTCTCAGCCTTCCGCGAGCCAGGCGTGAGACCCGAGCCTCACAATCGTCATCCTTCTTATCGCTCGGAAACAGAGTCTTTCTTAAGGGCTTTTTTATGAAACGCTGGAATTCCTGGCTCTATTGCTGGGAGGTTCACAGGTTGAGGTGAAGTGCTGGAGAAACCGCCATGGCCCTCCCAGTCAGCGCCATCCCACACATCTCTGCACCTGGCTCTATCTGTGGCGGGCTCAGGCGGCGGCCTGGGGGGAAGCGCCGTGACGGGCAGGGAGGTGCCGCCAGCCCCGGTGTGAGTGGCCAGGCCGGGAGACACTGGCGCGTCAGGCCCAGCGGGGTCCGAGTGCGCCGCCTCTGGGCTGCCGCCTTCTGCCACCACGAGTTTGCCGGAAGCTCTCGGCCTCAAAGTGAGTTTTTAAACCCCTGTCTTTCTCAGTCCCAACAATTCGATTTTGTGTCCCAAAAATATAAACTTATAAAATGATGGTTTCTGCAAAAGAAGTTGCGCTTCCGTGAATCCCCCCGTTTACTTAGTCGCCGTGTCCCGTAGGTGGATTCGGGTAGTGAGGGGATGCACCTGGTCGCTCAGTTCCGAGGAGGTTTGGCCGCCGGGAGGAGCTGCGAGAGCCTTGCGTGCTTTCTCGCGAGCACGCCAGAGCCGGGAGTGCGTTTTTCCGGAACGCTCAGAGGGATGCCGGCTTCCCCACGGTGGCACTGGGCACCTCCTGTGTTCACTGGCCTGTCTCGGGGACACTGTCCTCGGCGGCAGAAGTCACGGGGGGTGGGGGACAGACGTGTTTTCCTGCACTCATCCTGAGACAAAGCAGGGAGCTTGGGGCGCAGGCCACGGCCATGTGCGCTTCATCCCCGAGTCTGAGACTGTGTGGAATGAAAAGAAATCTGAAAACACTAAATTTCTCCTTGTAACCAAGTGCAGCCCATGAAAGACCAGCATTTGCAGGATGGGCCTTGCATGTGCATGTATGTGCATACACACAGGCCCTACTCCGTGTCTTAGGGCGTCTCATGGCGTGAACAGCCGGGGCCACAGCCCTGGCCTCCCAGGAGCACTGCAGCCCCGGGACTCGCCCGGCCACGCCCAAGACACCCCAGGACGGTGTCCTCATCATGGCAGCCTACAAGGGCTCTTCTCAATGCTGATAAAATATTGTCGTAAAATACGTTCCGTGTTGAAATAAATAGGCTGCGTTGGAGTTAGCGTGTTTGGAGAGCAGAGACTGTGGGAAGGAAGGTGAGTTGGAGCTGAGATAAAAGGACGTCTTTGAAAGAAGCTCTCAATCACCTTTTTTGGATTTTTAATTGTGAAATTCAGTAAGATGAAATTAACCATTTTAAAGCACACAATTCGATGGTGCTTTGGCCATTCACAAGGTTGTGCAAACACCACCTGTATGTAGTCCCAAAATATTTTTATCATCCTAAAAGAAAACCCCACACCCACTACGGCTGTTCCTCCCCCCAGTCCCGGGACCACCGACGAGCTGTCTCTGTCCCTGTTCCCACCCTGCACGTTGCATGTGCAGGAAGCGTGAGCACGCGGCCCTCGCGTGTGGCGCCTGCACTTGGCATCTGTTTCCGGGTTCACTGTGTTACAGCCCATGTCTGGGCCTCATTCCTTCTCGCCACAGATAACGTTCCGTGGCCTGGAGTCCCCTGCCTTTGTTTCCCCGAGAAGCAGCTGATGACGTCTGGCCCGCTCCCCTCTGGCTCCTCTTGTGAATCGTGTCGCCGCCAACGCGTGTCCGGGTTTTCCTTCAGGTCTCTGTTCTCGGTGCTGCGGGGTGTAGACCTGGGAGGAGGGATCCTGGGGGATGTGGCGTCGCGTGTTTTCCTCTGCTCCGGTTCGAAATTATCCATCCCGAAGACAGGCGCTGGCTCGCTAACCTAATTTGGAATCACATATGTGAAGCACATCACATTTCTAATTCTTTATGCCAAAAAAATTAAGTTAAATACGAGATGATGGAACAGGGTTCGTGCCAAAGCAGGACGTGGCCCCGCCGTGCCCACCACGGCCGCTCCCAGAGCCCCGCCCGGCCTGGGCCTCTGCCAGGGAGCGAGGACCTCAGATGTACACGCGTGCGAGTCATTTGGAGGGTGCCGGCAGGGCCCCCGGTGACATGTTTTCGTTTCACTTCACACGTGCAAACTGAAAGTGGAGAAAGGCGCCCGGTGGGGGTCGTCAGCGCCACGAGGGGCAGACGCACAGTGAACCGTCTCCCAAATAACCCCGCTTCTGTAGCTTTTACACAACGGCGTCCCCACTGACGCCAGAATTCAGCCTTCCGGCTCGTCTGCAAATAAAGCTGCGAAGCCACTCGGAGTTTCTGTCTCGTGTGATCAGAAAACAGCTGCCGCTCCCACCCTGCCGTCCTCTCTGGGCCCCGTCTCCCCCCGGGGCGGGGCGGGCGCCTTCCCTGGCTGGCCGCAGCCCTCGGGTTCAGCGAGCAGAGCCTGCCTGTCCCAGCAGACAGCCCCCTTTTCCAGAGAGGAGGAGGAAAACGCTAGTGAGAAGCTATTCTGGGGTGGTGTGGGTCCCATCTGGAAGGCAGGGAGCTTGCGTGACTCAGTGGCTGGGTGGGCCAGCAGCGGCAGGCGTTCCCTGCCCCGGGCCTGACCCAGCTCCCCTCCTCCCCGCCCTGCCCGGCGAGTCTGCCCGTCCACAGGCTCTGCGGGCAGAGGCGTGTTTTCCTAGCTGCACGCATGTCCTGAAGGGCCGGCTGGCTCCACGGCCCGAGAGCTGTGCGTGGGGCTCCCCCGTCTCTGGAGCAGCAGGGCGGCTCCCCACACCGCCCGGCGGGTGCCTGGGGCAGAGCAGGGCCCCAGATGGCCCCTTTGAGAGTCGTTTCTGTGACTTGGTCCATTAGCTCTTTTTTATTTTTTATTTTTTTGAGACAGTCTCACTCTGTTGCCCGAGCTAGAGTGCCATAGCGTCAGCCTAGCTCACAGCAACCTCCAGCTCCTGGGCTCAAGCGATCCTCCTGCCTCAGCCTCCCGAGTAGCTGGGACTACAGGCATGTGCCACCATGCCCGGCTGCTTTTTTCTGTATATTTTTAGTTGTCCAATTAATTTCCTTCTATTTTTAGTAGAGATGGGGTCTTGCTCTTGCTCAAACTCCTGGCTGGTCTCAAACTCCTGACCTTGAGTGATCCTCCCGCCTTGACCTCCCAGAGTACTAGGATGACAGGCGTGAGCCGCCACACCCCGCCCATTAGCTCTTGATGCCACATGCGCCCTGCCACGAGGGGCTTTCCCATGAGACCCTGGCGCTCTGAGCCCCACTCGGGGAAGGTGCCCCGAGAGACAGTGGCCGAGACCAGGGCTGGCTGCTCACTGCCCCCAGGGCATTGTTACATGTGGCGGGCGTGGCACAGGGCACCCCCAGCCCCACCGCACTCCCCTCCCCCACCCCTGCTGGTGCCGCCCACCAAGCAGAGGGTCTCTGCAACTTCTGTTTCCATATTTGGAGAAATGGGCCCTGTGAACCCACTGGACGGTTGTGAGTCGGCGAGGGCCCAGGGCTGTGTGCTGAGCACCCCCTTGCCCCAGGCACGTCCCTGAAGCGTCTCACAGCCTGGTGGAAGAAATCGTGAACAGGAGGGACCGGCGGCAACTCCAGGGCCCAGGGGCAAACCTGCTCGGAGGCCCGTGAGCCCGCCCTGGAGACTTCCGGGGCGAGAGTCACAGGAAAGGGAGCCGAGAGTGCAAGCTCTCGACCGGGCTCAGGACGTGGGGGCCAGGGCGAGGGGGGCAGGGGTCCCCGGGGAGCGGGAGGGCGGCAGGTTCTAACTCCCAAAGTGACTCCAGCAGAACTTCTGGGCCGGTCCCAGGAGGGGCTGTCCCTGCTCTCCGCCTGGGGACTTGCTGGGCACCTGTGGGATGACGCCTGGAAGTGACACGCAGGGCCTGCACCTGCCCTCTCTGGGCTCGTCCTCGGGACCCAGCGGCCCTGTCGTGAGGAGCCCCAGGGAGAACCTGCCGGGTCCCAGCTGAGGGCGGCAGCGGACAGAAAAGAGTGAGAGAGAGAGCAGTTGGGGAGAGAGCGTGGGCCGGGCAGGGGGTGAGTCCAGGGCCCCATCCCCATCCTGTCCTTGCCAAGCTCTGCCCAAAGTGCAAAACAAATGTCCTTTTTCACCATCGTTTTTTGTTTTTGTTGTTTTTTGAGACAGAGTCTCACTCTGTTGCCCGGGCTAGAGTGCCGTGGCATCAGCCTAGCTCACAGCAACCTCAATCTCCTGGGCTCAAGCGATCCTCCTGCCTCAGCCTCCCGAGTAGCTGGGACTATAGGCATGCGCCACCATGCCTGGCTAATTTTTTCTGTATATTTTTAGTTGGCTGATTAATTTCTTTCTATTTTTAGTAAAGATGGGGTCTTGGCTCTTGCTTAGGCTGGTTTCGAACTCCTGACCTTGAGCAATCGGCCTGCCTGGGCCTCCCAGAATACTAGGATTACAGGCGTGAGCCACCGCGCCCGACCCATTTCCCCCCCATCGTGAACCTGGGGCTTCTGTGCTACAGGGAGGACGGACGGAAGTCGGAGAGTGCGGCAGGGCCCAGGCCTGGCCCTGAGGCAGGTGTGCCCGTGGGAGGGCCGTGGTCGACCAGAGATGCCACAGGACCAACCTGCGGCAGCCGAGAACAGGCTGTTGGGACAGGGTCGGGTTAGGGGTGCTTGTTAGGCAACTCCTAATGGATTAATAATAAAATGACAACAGCAACAACCAGGTCACCCTGACTGGGACCGCCGTGGCGAGTGCTGCAGGGGTTGGATTCAGGACCTGCCTGGGGAGGTGGGGACCAGTAGGGCCACCGAGGCAGCGAGCCGCTTCCCCTCCTTCCTTCCTGGCCTCCAAGGGCCCATAGCCCTCCGAGCAGGAGGAAGGCCTGCCGTCCCACACGCAGCCCTCGATGGCCATGGAGGGGCGACTCCATCTCCTGGGGACCTGCCGGGCGGGCCCAGGGCTCTGCCTCACTCGAGCGCCCAGCCCTGCACCCTCAGGGCTCCTGAACGCCTCCTCCTTCCCGGGCCCTTCGCAGGCACCTGGCCTGTCTGGCCAGGGCCCCGGTAAACCTCCTGCCCTTCCCACCACCCCTGGCACCGCACCCCCAGGGCCTCGGCGTCCCCGCCTATAAAGTAAGGACGTGGATTCATCCCAGCTCTCACTCTCCGGCCATCGCTGCGATTCTCTGAGCAGCACTTACTCTCTCGGGGGAAACTTGCAACGTGCAGGGCGGCACTGAAGTCCACTGGCCGCTGACCACCGAGGGGGGAGACAGGCTGCCCCGCCCTACCTGCAGCTGGAGCACCCAGATTCACACGGGCCCCACGCGGGCAGCGAGTTCTGTGACGAGCGCGGTCTCCAGGGAGGGCAGCTGTGAGCAGGGTCTGCTCCACGCAGGTAAATGACCAGTAGCTTTTCATGTCAAGTGAAAAAGAGGGTTGGATTGAAATGCTCCTGCATTAATGGGACGACATGATCATGAGTGGCCTCGCTTTAGAAGATCACTTTCCGTGCCTTCTTCGGGGATATAATTTCATCCTGCGACTAGGAGAGTTCCGAGACAGTGAACTTGAAAGCCCTTTTGGAGACACTTTGGCTCACAGGACCCTCCTCGCTGGTCCTAACTCTCCTCTCCCCTTGCAGCCGAAACCGGCGACAGGTGTGGGGAGATGCTGAGGGTGAGAGGCTGGTGGAGTGGGGTGGAGAAGCCATTGCTTCCTCCACCTCGTGGGCTGGTGCTGGGCTCACTGCGCTGGGAGGAGTGGGCTCTGTCGGGGGCCACGCCGGCTCCTCCTTCCCGCCATCTGCCCTCCTACCCGCGCAGTGCCGGCTCACCGGACTCGCGGAGAGTGCACAGTCCTCTTCCGCCCACTGGAAGATTTTGTGCAGGGCAGGTGTGGCGGAATTCAGGGGTGAAGTCACCTGGGCTCGAAGGTTCCTGTGCCGGAAGACTTCTTCACATTCAGTTTATTTCAATCAAATCACAACACTTTCTTTCCCAACTGCTGCAAAGCGCATCTACAGTTTTCTATTACAGACCCACTTTGAAAAGGTTTCCTGTGACATCACAGCAAGCTTCCTTTCCAAACAGAGGAACAGCCCCAAATTCTTCCTCAAATAAAAACCCCATTCCAGTAAGTGGTAAATACATGAAATTACATTGTAAGCCAGGCACTTAAAAGGACAGCCAAGGAGTCTTCCAACAGTTTATTAGAAAGAATGTGAACATTTAAAAATATCCCCACTGTCATGAACATAAATTGAGGTTTTCAGCCCTGGTATAAGCTGAATAAAAAATAAATAAAATAAAAAACCCAATGGTGCATTAACATTTTTTCACTCACTTGCCATACTGACAGTGCAAATACAAATCTGGTCTAAATGTACAGATTCTCAAACAACGATATATAGTTTTCTCCATCCTCCATGCTAAGAGACGTAAAAGCTCAAGGGCCAAACAATACCAAATGTATAGGCTTCAAAAACCATCTAAGTTAGGGCATTCACTAGTTTTAGCTAAGATACATCTGGAACACTGACAAGTGATTACTTACATACAACAATGCAAAGTAAATTTTTGGAAAAATAAACTTTAGTAGAACAATCTTGAAGGACTGCTGGAAGACCTCTAACTGCAAATTCCATCTCTTTAATAGATACAGTGTTGTACGGGTTATTTGTTTTTGATAGTTTGTGTCTTTGTTAGTTTATGTCCTTTAAGGAATGTGTTCATCTCCTCCAAGTCATAGAACTTACGAGTGTGATCGTGGGGTCCAGGCGATGCCACCTCCCTTACCTGTGACCTTGTGCGTCTTCTCTTTCTTCTGATCAGTCTGGTGGAAGGCTCATCAATTTTGTTGATCTTTTCAAAGAACCAACTT